ATTTATATGTCTTCCAAACCACTGATGCCTGTTTTTTACATACACGCTGTCCCCATCGCTTCCACCTTCTGTGACCTCTGATGGCTCGTCTCTACCAAATGCAGCAGGGGTGCAGAACCTCAGGCCAGGGCCCATATCCACACAAGATCCCAATCTGACCCTCCAGTGCTCCCAAGAAAGCCATGGCCCCTTTGCCTGCCCCCACCCTTTTCGTTCAACCATGTATCACTTGGTGGCTTCCTGGCTTGAGCAGTTCCTCCCCATTCTCTTGAAGGGCCTCTTCTAAGGTCCAGTTGCTAACAAGGGGAGCTTTTGTCTCTGCCCCTTTGGTCCTGCCCTGTGCTTGTGGCCTGATCCACCTCCAGGCTGAAAGGGATTCAACACCAAATCCCTAGCTAACAAGGAAATCTCTTAAGCATTAGTTCCCATTAGTCAGCCATTCCAGCCTATTAGCCCAAGAAAGGAAGACTTAAGTAGCAGTACTCTGGGAAGACAGAAGAGCCAGAATGCATTATTTTGAAGGCAAGCTAGAGATAGTGGGCATTAGAGAAACCTGGTAGAATGGAAAGCACCAGTCATCTCTGAATATAAACTGTATGGGAAGAACAGGGATGGGAATACTGGAAAAGGGATTGCTATGTAAGTTAAGGAAGACTTTGTAATCTAAAAGGCTGGGACTCCTCAACAGAAGCACCATGAGTGACATTACCTGGCTCCAGGTATCCTAGGAATATAATACCATCTCCCAGAGCAGAATGCTCAGGGTGATCTTGAGATGGAGAATGACATCAAGGGGGCTTCAGAAATGGGTAGTGCTGTAACAATGACTGATTTCAACTACCACCCCCCCACACACACACACAGATTGGAGAAATGTATGCTCCAGTTCTGACAGAAATTGCTCAATGCCCTAAAGGACTGTGCTCTAGGAAAAATAGTTAGAGAACCCACCTGGGAGGAGGCAAACCTAAACGGAATCCTATGTAGGGCTACCTGGGACCTAGTACAAGAGGGAAAAGTTGTTGCACTGGTTGGAAACAGTGATCACTGTGCTGGCAGATTTAGTATATATTTAGGAGGAAGTTTGCTAAAGCGGTTCAATGCTTGGAGATTACTCAAAACCATGATAATAGAAGCTCAGATAGTATGTAGGCAGCAAGGTAGGAAATGTAGTACAAAATCTGGCATGGTTAATGAGCAGTGTCACAGAAGTTGTTGGAAAGAAGAAGGCTTCCTTCAGAACTGGAATTCTTGCTGAAACGAGGAAAACAAAAGGCAACACAAGTTTGCACAAGGGAGGTACAAGCAGACAGTCAGAGAGACAAAAAAAGCACATGGAAGGACCATATCACTAAAAACATCAAGGCCCATAATAAAGAACCCTTTAAATATAACAGAAGAAAGAAACCAGCCAGAGAGGAGCATTGGAGATAATGGAATTAAAGGAGTTCTAAAGGAGGATAAGAGAAGCTGAGTGAATTCTTTTCATCTGCCTTCCCAACAGAGGATACAAAACAGATAACTGTTCCTGAACTAATGTATTTAGGAAGGGAGACTGAAAAATTAAGGCAGATAGTGGTGAGAAACAATTAAGTTCTCAGTAAGGTCATACACAAGACCATAAGAAAATCCATGCTGAAATGCACCAAAGGTCCAACCAGTTCATCACCCCATACACGTGGTGGCAAACCAGGTGCCCACAGGATCCCTCAAGCAGAATGGGTACAAGACCTGCCCAAGCTTTTCAGCAATGGCGTATGCAGACAGGCCACCTCTGCTAAAGGAGGCAGCACATAGCCAGCAAAGCTAGTAGCCTCCTCCTGATAGCCTGCTCCCTCATGAATTTTTTCAATCTCCTTTTAAAGCCATCCAGATTGGTAGCCGTCACCACTTCCCATGGCAGCTAATTCCTTAGTTTATAGTGTGAAGAAGCACTCCCTTTTATCTGTCATAAACCTCTCACCAATCAGCTTCGTGGGATGGCCCTGGGTTTAACTGTTATGGGAAAGGGTTAGCGTTATGTCTGCTGCTCAACTGTCTCCACACCATGCATTACTTTAAACACCTCTATTGTGTCTCCCCTTACTCATCATTTTTCTAAGCTAAAAAGTCCCTGTTGTAGCTACTTTTCATGGAGGAGCTGCTCCAGCCCCCTAATCGCTTTTGTTGCCTTACTATGAACTCTTTCTAGCTCAGTAATGTCCTTTTCAGGTAAGGTGACCAGAACGGAACATAATATTCCAAGTGTGGTCACACCAAGAATTTGTATAAGGGGAATAAGATTATGGCAGTTCTATTTTCTATTCCATTCCTAATTATGCCTAGCATGGGATTTGTCTTTTTCACAGCAGCTGTGCCCTGGACTATCATTTTCATCAAGCTGTCCACTACTACCACAAGATCCCTTCCTTGTTCAGTCACTGCTAGTTCAGATCCCATCAGCATATACTTGAAGTTGGGATTTTTTGCCCCAATATGCATTACTTTACACTTGCACATCTTATGGACAAACTGAAAGTTAATAAATCACCAGGCCCAGATAGTATCCATCTTAGAGTTCCTAAAGAGCACAAATATGATGTTGCTGACTGTATTGACACTCTTAAAAATATGTTATGTGTCCCTAAGATCAGCCTTTGTACCAGATGACTGGAGAATGGCCAATGTAATACCAATTTTTAAAAATGGAATCCAGGAGGATGCCTGGATTACAAACTGGTTAGCATAACGTCTGTACTGAAGAAATTGGTTGAAAGCATTATTAAAGATAAAATCAGCAGAGGGACAAGCCCTGCTTGAAAAGGAATCAACATGGTTTCTGCAAAGGTAAGTCCTTTCTTGCTAACCTATTAGTATTCTTTGAGCGTATCAAGTAAGCTCATGGGCAGGGCTGATCTGGTAGACACTATTTGCTTGGATTTCCAAAAGGCTTTTGACAAAGTCTCTCCCCAAAGGCTCCTGAGCAAATGACACAGTCATGGAATAAGAGGGGAGATCTTCTCATAGATCAGTAATTGCATAAATGATCTGCAGTTAGGAGTAATCAATGAAGTGGCCTAGTTTCCTTAAGACACCAAACTATTTAGGGTGATTATACAAAAGGGCAATGAGAAGAACTCCAAAGGGATCTCTCCAAGCTGGGAAAATCAGCATCAAAATGGCAAATGCAGTTCAGCATAAGCAAATGTGCATGTTGAATGTATGTGTGTTGGGGCAAAAAAAAAATCCAGTTTTAACAGGATCAGAGCTAGCAGTGACTGATCAAAAAAAAAAGATCTTGGGGTTGTGGTGGACAATGTTCAATGCAAATATCAACCTAGTGCATGGTTACTATGAAAAAGACGAATACCATGTTAGGCGTAATTAGGAAAAAAATCAAAAATAAAACTACCAGTTTCACATTGCCCTTTTAAAAATGTTTGGTACAATGGTACCATCAAGATTGTGTAAAGTTCTGGTTGACACATTTGAAAAAGGACATTACATAGTTGAAAAAAGTGCAGAGAAGAGCAACTAACATGATCAAGGGGTTTGAGTAACTATGATACACAGTTACAACAGCTAAGATGGTTTAGCTCAGCTACTTCACACAGCACATGGTTAAACTATGGAGGCTTGCTTGTTTGTTTTTTCTGAAGCCACTGTGTTTATAAATTAGACTAGGCTTAAGAAACAAACAGCAGATTCAGCCTCCAGAACAGTATAATTTGACCAGCACTAAATGGGGTAAGTTTCCCCTAGATACTTTGGAAAGAACAACTGACTAGGTTCACACAACACAATAACTCATGGTAGGCTGCAAGACATGTTTGTTTCTTAGTGGCTTGTGGTGTTATTCAAACCCAGCAGCATCACTTGTTAACCATGCATAAGCCATAGTCAGGTTCAAATACTGTAACAAGCCACTAAGAAACAAACAGCAGATTCAGCCTCCAGAACAGTATAATTTGACCAGCACTAAATGGGGTAAGTTTCCCCTAGATACTTTGGAAAGAACAACTGACTAGGTTCACACAACACAATAACTCATGGTAGGCTGCAAGACATGTTTGTTTCTTAGTGGCTTGTGGTGTTATTCAAACCCAGCAGCATCACTTGTTAACCATGCATAAGCCATAGTCAGGTTCAAATACTGTAACAAGCCACTCTGAAGAAAGCATGGCTCACAACACACCATGGCTTACTATGTCATGTGAATCCAGTCATGGTTTGGGAAGGTAGCATTAGAGACTGACTTCTTTGGTGTCATTATTTGTCACATGACTTTTGTCACAGGAAGGTGAGTGCTTTGATCTGTAGGATGATGTCCTATCAGTAGACATTACTACTTGCTGAAAAAATGTTTTGTTCCCAGGTGCTACATGGCAGTCTGTTGTATTGAGACAGACACACTTATGTCTTGAGATCAGAAGCACATAAATGCACGTATGTTCTTTCTCTCAGAGGATACACATCAGAAAATGGAATCCACAGATAAGTACTGTTGTTCCTCACTTAAGGACAAAAAACAAAACACATCTCGACTGTTTAAACCTGTGTTTCATATATTTTCTGCAACCGCACCCTCAAAAAGGAACAGGCCATGTGCAGTTTCCCCCTACCTCTATTCACTGTCCCCTCCCAACAAAACTGCCATGGCAGTTGCAGAAAATAACCTGCTGGTTGGTTTATGTTGGTGGTAGAAAAAAGGAACAATTCTTTTCTAAAAGAAAGCACACAGGAACAAGGACACAGGGATTTCCAAGCAAATAAGTACTCCTGGAAGCTATTTCAGAATGCAATTCAGCTGGAAAAAAGGCATATGCTTTTCACAAACCATGTTTCAAAGGAAGACTGCCGGGGGAGATTGCTACCACTATGCTGCTCAAATTCAGCACTGGCCCTCAAATGGAATGGGGGGAGGGGGGACAGCCTCCCATCCACTGAATCTTGCCTGTTCCAGCTTTAAAATAACATATAAAGAAACATAATCAGTCAATGAAAATGTAAGATGAACTTACCTTCCAATTTTTCTCCATATGTATATGCTCCAACAGTAAAATGTGGCAAAGAAAACACAAGTGCTCCTAATGCGATCATCAAAGATGCAAAGGCCAGCCATCGTGGTTTGTGCCCTTTCTCACCATAGAATGATATAAAAAGGCATAATACACAGAATGAAATGTCATAGCCAGCAGAGATTACGCCAGTGAAAGAGCTGTTCAAATCATAACGCTTCTCAATAGTGGAAATGCTTACATTTATTAATCCATTTACAATAATGCCTGAAAGAAAAGAAGCATACAATTAGACCTTCAACTTATGTGTGGATATTTTGTTCTTGTTGTTAATGGAAGCAAGGAAATCTTCCATTCTTGTTGGGCACCATTGATAGCAAGTAGATATCTAATTGAATCTCTCTCCCTAAAGCACACATACTGTGAGGGAGTATACACCATTTAAATGTTCTGATTCAGGTTTCAAAACATCTTGGGCTGGTTCTGATCAAGGATTCATGTGCGTATTGTTCCATTAATAATGAAAGCACATGTATCTCAGCATTCCAAAGCTACCCTTCATTGGAAGATAATAGACTCCTTTCTGAATGGCCAAAGCAAGAGACAACAACATAACCCCTCAATGCCTGAGGCTCCATTCTTTCTTCATTTGCTCTATTTTCAGCAGCTGTTTTCCACTGAGGCAATAAATGGGTGGACTTTCTTTTCCCCCTTTCCACAGCCCCTTGTAAACCATAGCTCTTGGACTGAAAAGACTATATTCTCAACCCAATCCTATGACTGTTTACACAGATGCAAGTCCGATTAGGTTATAATTTTGCATAGATCTGCAGGTTTTATTATATTACACTGTTCATGTAAATGTCTCCTTTGTCTTCCACTATTCGCATAACTAACTTTGAGCTATCAAGGGACCAAGGTAGCTCACTCCTTCTTAAAAAGCAAAATCTGTTATGCAACTCAATTATGTTTCCACAAGCAACAGTAATATAATAACTTTGCAAGTCAGTATCATTCAAACAGTAATCCCTGGAAAACCAATTTCATGCAAACTCTTAGGCATTGGCAGCCATCATAAGAATCAGTATTTCATATGCTTGTCCAATTCTAAATTATCACTTTTGAAATTGTAGATGGATTAGAATGGCAATTGCTTGTGCCTGGTCAATTGCCATTTCTGCAAATTGCTTCTTGAACCAATATCTGGAATTTGTCTTCCAGGTCCTCCACCCACTGGTAACTCACATGCTGCATGTAGAGAGTGATTCCTACATGAATGCTGAACCCAGATTCCAAGTAGGACCTTCGCAAGCAAGGGGCTTAAGTTTATCAGGACCAATTTGTCCCACTTATTTCGATGGCTCTGCTCTTCCTAAGTGTGGGTTCAATTCCATGTGTTTTTCACTTCACTAACACTTCACAGATTAATACATCCTTTTGACAAAAGACATCTATGAGCCTTCTAACCATACACCAGAAAGATTCGTGCTTGGAATGCATGACTGAGCCCACTAGAATCTACATTCACAGGCAACTGCATACACATTTGACCAAAGCACAGCAAAGAGACATTTTGGAAAAGAGGAAGTAATGCTGCAGTTATGACCCCCTCACAAGGCTAAACAACACATGAAAATATCAGAGGTCAATATAAGGCCTTGTGAACCTGGAGTTATGGCTGACAGCCCATATGACTACCGTTATGCAGGCAAGGTTATTTCAGCTGCCTTTCCCAATCCTTTAAAGTATTGCTACTATAACCATGAAATGTTCAAAGAGCAATTTGTAAAAATTAAGTCATATTGACTGCAAGTGACTTAAGATACCATTATATGCACTAGTCTTTAAAAATAAAATTGTAAATGATGCACTACATGCAATAAAGCACAAAAATAGTTCCTTGCTCATATTTATAGTTTTAGAGTGGGGAAAACAATGTTTTACATCAGAAAGTTGCTATGGGTAGGCAACCTTGCGTCTTCCAGACATATTGGATTTCAGCTCCCATTTTCTGCATGAGCATGAGCAAAGATCGGGGTTTTTGATCAGGACTGTGGGAGCTGCAATCCAAACCATCTGGAGAACAATAGGTTGCCTACCCTGGTTTGGGAGTTGCTGAGAAAAATCAAGAAACATGTTCTATTGTGATTAATAGAATACAGGAAGCAACTGAAATACAAACCACATTTTGAGAATTAAAGTATTACTTGAAACTAGTTTAAGTGCCATTGATTTCAGCAGGTTTATTCTATGCTGGGTAAATCTGGATCCAGTATAATACATATTTTAGTGTGATCAGGCAATGAAGTCAGCCAATCTACAGACAGAGATCAAAACAAAATGGAGCCTTGAATACTCTCAGACAAATAAACAGCTACCTACATGCAAGCATCAGTTAGCACCTACCTCCTTCACTCTATTGTGTAAAATATGGGGATCATTGAGGCAAAATGTTATGACACAAGGATCTATGCATCAGAAGAAGAGGACATGGCTTCCAGCTTTGTATAGCAGTTTAGGGCAATGGACAAGGGTCACAGTCTAAACCAGCCTTCCCCAACCTAGTGCCCTCCAGATATTTTAGGAAAAACTCACATCAGCCCCAGCTGCCATGGCCAAAACCCAAAACATCAGGATTGTACTAGGCTGGAGAAGTGTGGTCTAGGCTATATATCCTTGACCACAGGCACCTCAAAAATATGAATGAGACTGTATGATCTAAAGTCTTTTTCTAGTCCCAGCATTGCTTAGGAGCATTGGAATATATGCTTTATATCGAATGAGACCATTGGTCCTTTATACCTCAGTAGTGTGAACACAGACTAGCAGTGGCTCTCAGGGTTTCATGCAAGAGTCTTTCCAAACCCTACCTGGAAATGTCAGGACTGAACTTCTATCTCTGAGCTGGCCCCGCATCCCCACAAGAAGGAGAATTAAGATCTGGGTTCAACACCTTCAGAGCAGGGTAGAAGGTGAGAAAGGTACGGTGAAGAGTTCAACCCTCAACACCTAGAAAACTGGAGAAGGTAGAAGGGAGGCACCTGGTAGTTACCTCCCAGATTCCAAGGAACAAGGGCTCCCCAAACCTGCTTTTCCTCTGATAAAATGAATAGGAAGGAGGTTCTCAAGGAATACAATATGATTCTATGATGTGGTTGAGACTTCCCATGACTCCACCCCACATTAGTTCACCCTCACAGAGGAAATCACAAAGGACAACCAGTTGGCACTGTCATTCAAAGCAACTACGCCATCAACCTGTCTCACCCATATGATGTTCTCTATACAGATGTTACCAACATGACATGATACAGCCACTAGAAAGAGCAACCAAGTTGCTATAATAACATCAACCCAGAAATTCAAGCTCAGAATAAGAAGCAAGAAATTCCAGGAAGATACTCCAGACTGAGAAGCAATCTTGAATAAGAATTACTACCCAGAAAGGTGGCCCAAAGGATGGCAGAAGCATAGATGTTTTCAGATGTGATTATAAAACTGGGAAAGTGATTCTTCTGAATTAGTGAACTTGTGTGCTCACGTGCACAAAGGATCAAGCTTCTTGTACCTTGAAAGGCTGTACAGAAGAGGTTACCTTGGCAGTTGCAGCTGGTCATGTAAGAATGAATTGGAGGGAAATTGCACTTCCCATAATTATTTTCTTCTACACAACTGTGAAGGGTATGGGATTGCCCTCCTGATATGTCAGTCTAATTAACACAGTATGGTGACCAGATCAGCACCATCAGACAGTTGCCAAGGCCTCCGCTGCTTGGGCATTCTGGCATCAAGCTTTGGCTACCTATCACTGGAGACCAATGGATGCTTGGAGCCTCTTTAAGTGGCTGAGCCCCTCCTCTTGATGCACTGCCAGCATTGATAGAGGCAGAAACCCTGGCTCCTCCCCCTTCCACTTAAAGCATGCAGGCATGTGGCACTCGGCCCACTCTCTTGACTTTGGATTGCAATGGGAACTGGATGATGGCTGCTTCTAGGGAGGGTGAGCAAGCTGTTGATGGTGGGAAGAATAGCCATAGACTCCACTGGGCTGGTCCACCTCCCACCACAGCAGATTGGACCCTGCATCACAGTGTGACAGCAGAGGAGGCAAAGCACATTGCATGGGTGGGGTAGCTTTGTCCCAGTCCAGGTGTTAAATCTCTGAAAGAGAAATGGCCATCCATTTCATATTAACACTCCATCCAAAATATATTTTCCCTGAGACAGAAAGTATCTTTTGTGTATTAAAAGTTCCAGGTTCAATTCCTGGCATTACCTGGTTGGAAAGTTTCTTCTCAGAAATGCTAGAGAGCCACTGTCCATCCATGCAGTTGGACCAGTATTCCAACTAGGAATAAGGCACCTGTGCGTATTGCTAAGGGCATGTGGCAAAAAGCTACGAAAGCCTGGAACTAAATAAATGAACAGCATGCACTATTTAAGATAGGCTTGGCCACTCACACTTGATTATAGCCAATGTTTGACTTTTGTAGAGAAAATTAATTGAAAGGAATGGGACTTTGGTTAGAGTTTGTATACAAACAACACATGCATTCGGTCAGAGTTTGCATATAACCCTAACTGCTATAAAAGGGGGTAGATCTCTATTTTCGATAGAAATAATAATAATACCCCTAACCTAATAGTAACCCATAAGAATCTCTCACTTTCCTACACCACCGCCAGGCTTTGGCTGCCAAAGAGGAGCGTTTTAAACTCTCTGAAGTCCAGCGATATCCACCTAGAGATGCAATGTGAGAAGGACTATAAGTGAAGTTACTCTGACGGCCTTTACGAAGTTGTTCTCTCTCTGCTTACCTTGTAAAATGGAAAGCAGGCTGTAGAAAGCCAGGTACCCTTTGGCGCTGTTGCAGATCTGCAGCGGAGGCGGCGCGAATCCGCAGATCCCACAGAGCTCTTCGCCAACCTCAACGCTGGGTGAGGCGTCGACAGACGAAGCCGGCGGGCTGGCAGGAGGCACCCCGCGCGGGCCCAAGCTGTCCGGACTGTGCAGCTCGAAAGCCGGGTTGTCCACGCCATCTTTCTTCATGGCACAGGCCAAGCAGCCGCCAATCGCGCGGAAGCGTCCGCAGCAGCACCTTGCGGACTCGTCCGAGCGCCCGAAGCGCCGGCTGGCCAAACGCGGCGCGGCTGCAGCAAACCGAGAGCGGCGAGCGCGCGTGGACGGGGCGCTCGCGCGGAGCAGGCGGCCCGCTTCGAGGAGCGGCGTGCGGCACACGCGCGCGCGCGCCGCGGAGTCCCGAGCGGGGATGAGGCTCCGGCGGCGGGGAGGGACCTTCGCGGAGATGTCAAGCGTGACTGCCGCGGAGTTCCGTTGACTGGAATGACCAGTTCGCTCACATGGCAAGGAGGACGGTCAACGTTCCGCAGATCGAGGCGGGAGCAGCGGGAGGCGAGGAGGCGGCCCCTGCCGAAACCAGGGGCGGGACGGCGGGCCCCCGCCGGGGTCAGCACCCGCCGCCGCCGCCGCCGCCCGAGCGAGGAAGACCCGGCGGAGGAGGAGGAGGAGGAATGAAAGGAAGGAGAGCCAGCAGGTGTCAGCAGTGGCCGTGCTACGTGTAAGTTGCTTAGAGTTTCAGAGCTGGCTGTGCCCCCGAAGTCGCCTTTCTCAGAATCATGAAGAAGACAAAACTATTCATACTTTCCAGTTGTAGGAGTTTCCTCCGTTCTTGTTCTAAGGTCCTTAAGTGTAGATGTTAAGCAATTGGGCAAGTTCTAGATGTTTTTACCTACAGAGGCACAATTAATCATACGTGTGCAAGTATGTCCGCACACATCAGTGCACACGCTTATGGCAGATACCCTGAGTAACTAGGCCGGGCATTATCACTGCAGGGCATTGACCTCCCTCCTCCCCAAGAATCAGCTGGAATGTTGCAGACTGATTTGTAACTGCTAGGAATGACAGTTGGCCAGTGGCACCATGGTAACCAGCTTGATTTAGACCCAAAGAAGACACCACATGGCTCTACAGAGTTACTTTCTTTCCATACCTGACCTTGAGATATTAATATCTAAATGGTTTGTAAGTTAGAATGAAAGCTTCCAGCTGTAGATGCATGTCCAGTTATTCCAAATGAAATAATTAAGGAGGCATAAGACTATCATTGCCTGTTAGCCATGACGCTTCTCCAGTGCCTCCAGTATCAGAAGCAGCATGCCTGTGACTACCAGTTGCTGGGAAATCTGAGTGTTCTCCTTTGATGGGCTTCCCACAGGGATCTAGTTGGCTGCTTTGAGGACAGGAGTCTGAACAAGATAAACCTTTGGTCTGATCCAGCTGGGCTGTTCTTATGTTCTTAAAGTCATGGGATAAAGGAATGCTCAAGCACCATTGGCCTGGGTTTCTTTTTTCCATGTGCAATTGAGTATGAGTCATCCCATTCAACCTAAAAGCAATGGCGAGGTTTAAATCTTGAACTCTGATTTGTTTTTTGTCTGTTCTTTTGGATATATTAAAATTACTCCCAAGTGGAGAATGGTACATAGGATGCAATTTGCTTGCAAGGTTCTGAAAGCAGCGACCCAAGAGTTCACATGACCTGCCAAAAACCTTTCTGTTTCTTTTCATAGCATTTGTGTTGTATTTTTTCCATCCCTTATTGAAATCAAGACAGTTGTGAACTTGATTTCTTCCATGGTGAGCCCCATTCAAAAATCTCCAGGCAACTGATATTACAATAGAAATGCATTCTGAAGATGGTTCACCAAATGTCACCCCCTTTAATGTCTCAGATGAGTCCACCATCCAGCTTGTTAACACCACATATATATAGTCATTAACAATAGGTCAGCTCTTTCTTTCCTTTTGATCAAAACACAAAAATTTACACTCACCAGTTTTATATACAAGCAATATAAGAGGGAGGTAAAACTGTTCCAAGGCTGAAAAACTAGAAGGGGTGTTGGATTTTATATTGCTTCAACATTGGCTCCATGTTCAAATTCTAAAGGGATTGGGGAGGTAGGATTGTGAAACTGAAACAAAAGGTCATGTGATGCCTTTTGCTGTAGGTGGGCCTTCTCCCAGGCCAGGTTCACACATCATGACAAGCAATACTGCACAGCTTTGACCTTGAGTGGTTTCATGCATGGATGTATCTGAAAGACGACCAAGCCCATATGGTAACTCTCCTCCCATCCACCATTTCCCTCCCTTTCAGCCCTTCAGGGTGTATTCCAGGAGGCACCACTGGGAGGAATGAAACTCCTTGCTTTGTCAGATGTGATGACATGCTGAGTTTGGCTCGCCGCAGCTGTCAGTCTCTGCTGCCTGCGCCCTGAAATGCAGCCCAAAAAGTACAGAGCTGGTTAGACACCCTCCTCTCCTCCAGGGGAAGTGCTCAAGCAGGAGGGAAGCGCACGATACACACTCAGGCAAAAGGGGGCAACACTGCAGAAGGAAGCTTCACACATCCCATGAGCACCTGAGTAAAACCCCACTTGTGCGTGAGCAGCAAGGCAAGAAGCAGCTGGGGAAAGAAGGGTCCCCATCCCAGTGCCAGCTGCATCTAACCTTGCAGGGTGGCATGGGTAGATGTGCTGTGGCACACAGACCCCAAATGGACACCACTACTCAGCAGATTCTCATCACTCCTGCTCACAGTCATGCAGGAGTGATGGCCGGGGAATCAACTGAGCAGCACAGCTCTTCTCCCAGCACTGACCAACCCATTGCCTCCTCCTGCCCCAAAGATCTTTAGGGCAGGAGGCAGGAGCAGAGGAGCCCCCTTCCACAAATGGCAGCTCCCAGCGGGACTCTCTGGTTAGTGTCTTGGCAAGAGTGGCAACAGGCCACTCTTGCCAAGAAACTCCATGGTACTGGCCTCAGCATTGCGACAAGCTGTGTTTTCTGGTTCAGACAACAGAAGAAGAAATCGTTGTGCCAAGAAACCATAAAACAGACTGTTGCTTCTGCTTGTGGTTTCTCCAAACCAAACATACCACATGGAAATTCCACGACAGGATTTGGATGAAAAAATGTAAAAAAAAAAAAAACTGTCATTTGTCTTGACTGAGTCTGCACTCTCCGCAGCTGCACTATCTGCATTCATGTGTTATTTGTTTACTTAAGTAAGTTTGATATCAAGTAAGAGAAAAAGAAAGTTTCCAGAAGCCTCATTTTCAAAGCTTTTCTGCTGAATCTGGTCTGCAAAATGCCATGCCTTTTCTCTTTACTGAAATTTATTTCTGAAATTTCAGTTTACCCAAACCCCTTTTTGCCCCAAAATTGTCCATCTGTCTCTCCTACCCCCTGCCCTGGGGGTTGCTATCTCCCCATCATGTGTCAAAAGATTCAAGGCCCAGGCCCACAGGGCAGAAATCTTAATAAAATCTGCATATACTAATGCATATCTATATAATCAAATTTAGTCATGATTGCTGGGATGTTTTGAAACTTTATAGGAAGCAAAGGCAGCCAGTTCAAATAATATGAAATAAATGCTTCAATTAATTTGCCCCCTACTCCATATAATCCCAAGCAAAAAGAAAAAAAAAACATTTTCACAACTAAGATTAATGGCCACATAGGAAGAAGATTTTGAGGAATGTTTCCACATGTGAAAAGGGGAGAACTAACTCTTCCTTCCTGAGCTACAATATCCTTGAAAATGTTTCTCCCTATGGCAATTAACCAGAGCAGAAGAACTGCATTGTTTCTGGCAATATTCATGGCTACGTGGAGTAGATCCAAGGATTTGGAAAATAGCTTTCCTCATGGACCTGGACGGCCTGCCCCCCATCTCCCCAAATGCTGGTTTCTACTGATACTCTTGTCTCAGCTGACCTGGTGGAGTAAACTGTGTCTTTCCATTATCTGCCTACTGCTCCAATTTCTATAACAGGTTCCTGGAGAGCTGAACCTGTACCAAAACTTCCTGAACCTGGTATACTCCAGGTATATCAGACTATCTCCTGGTTGGGGATGCTGGGAATTGTAGGGCAACATACCTGGAGGACCTCAACTTTGGGAAGACAGAAATAGAGTCTTTCACCACCAGCAGCCTGTCAAGTTGGTGGAATTAATGATTTGCCAGTGCCCCCTTTCATTTTGCCTCCTCACCAAGATGATTGGGGGCGGGGGGAGAGAGACAGGAGGAGCAGTTGTTCATTTTTCACTGAAGCAAAATCAGTAATGGCAGTTTCATTGCAGCACTGGTGGAGCCACATGGCTTCTGATGAGACGAAAGAGTAAGTATCAAATCAAAGTTCTGTGCTTAGTTTCTGGGACAAACTTTTACCATCAACACACACAGCTAGGAGGACCTCGATGGGGATGGGGTAGGTTTTCTAGAATGAATGGCCGAAATTATGAGAGTTCACAGTCCACAAGAAAGGGAAGTTGCCAGATAGAGTTTCTGTAGCAGCAGATGATGCGGTTGAGTAACATTAGCCCAATATAGCAACGTTTTCCGACGAAAGTGGTCCATTGCTACATTTTGTTACCACTGAATAAGACTGGCCCTTGAATAGCCTTATCAAAGCAAAACACCAAGGGTGTACCTTGCACTGGTCCTCTGGAAACACCCCCGAGTGTAATTGAGCTGGAAGAGGATCTCGCCTGACGACCTGGGCAAACAGCATGTGGTGGTGAGCAGGTCAAATTCTTTCTGATCCTCTCCCTACCAGCTGAGGTTGAAAGGAAGAATCAAAGGGTGTGAACCTGTGCACTACTCCCTGTTCTTCCTGATCCTCCTGTCTGGAAGATAAAAACCAGGATTACCATCTAGCCAGGCATGCGTTGTCCTGACCAGAGTTTCATCCTCTTGGTCAAAAGCTACACTGCAAAACTATTAAGCTGGACCATCCTTTTAAGTGCACGTGTATGCGTTGCAATGACACATCTTTGTGCAAAATGTTGGTGCCCACTGTAGTGGTGGTTGCATTTTTAGAATGATGCACTATTGTAGGCATTGCTGGCCATCTTATCCCTGCTAACTTCTCTGGCAGCTCAGTATCTGTAGGCTACTGGAACTCTAAAAGGGCATTTGTAAATTAGGCCATTTAGCCCTATTCACCTGAACAAGG